GAATAGTAATGGCACTTAGACTTATATACCACTTTACATCCCCCTCTAAGTGGTTTACAGAGTCACTATATTGCCCCCAACAATTTTGGGTCCTTATTTTACCCACCTCGGAAGGATGGAAGGTTGAGTCAAGTGAGATTTGAACTCCCAAATTGCAGGCAGCCATCAATCAGCAGAAGTAGCCTGCAGTGTTGCACTGCACCATCACAGAAAATAACCCTTTCTTGCCATTTTCTCCTGGAAAACAGCAAAAACTATAGCAAATTACAATCACATGACAGCTAGTTACCAAACGTCTAAAATGCAGTGACATGACTGGGAGGGGAGGGGGCAGCACAACACTTTATGACAGCCAGACACCCATGACAGCTTTACCCTTTCCAAGGCCGTCATAATTTCAAATAGTTGTTAAGTGACTCATCACTAAAGAAGGGCTGCCTATAACTGTTTTAAAAAAACTCATTCAGACTTCATGATCTCCTATTGCAAAAGTATGGTTTTCATTCGAACTGTAGATATCTTCAGCATTCTAAAGGAAAAGGAAAGATTTATAGATTTAGATACCAGCCTTGAACAAACTGGGCTTCATGTGTGAATTCACATCCTTCACCGTAGTGTGTGAAACAGTTTTTCCTATCACATACACATATTAGAAATGGCTAATGATATGCAGTGGAAATGCTTTTGCTGTAGCATGGGCTACTGTTTCCATGGATCTATCTCTCCATCCATAGGGTCATGCAGAGCCCTGATTGTCGAATGGACTGCCATAACTTGGCACGTATCTTTGGACCAACACTAGTTGGACACAGCACTCCGAGCCCCAGCCCACATGCCATTATGGAAGACACCCCACGCCAGTGCCTGGTAACCTCTGTGACCTCTCTTCAAGTTTCTTTCAGTTTTCAGTGGCTCATCACTGCACAATGCTCAGTCTTTGTCAGAAACGCTTGATTTTATAGGATTGATTCCTTTGTATGGCAATAACTTATCTCTTGTGGGATGGGTTGGGAGAACGTAGCTTCCCTCAAATGTGAGAACAAGGCAAGACTTGATAGGTGGTTTGTAGCGAATATTCTTAACTTTTTTTTGCTTTTGAGATTCCATTGAGCATTATTTGAATAATTCATTGATTAAATTTAAATGCCATCCATCTCGCTCTCTGTTGAAGTGACTCTGGGTGGTTATTTGTATTATTCCTCTCTATCATGATTAACAACACTGCTTTAAATGGAATCCATGGAATTCCATTTTTGAGATACTCGTCAGCTAAAGAACCAAAGGGGAAAGAAAAAGAAGGGGGAGGAATTAGGAGGTAGACAGAGGCTGATGTTATTTCCTTTCTATAGGCCGTCTCCCATCTCCTAGCATTGCCACTCAAATTTTGGAAACATTTTATAGAAGAAGAGCAAGAAAACCTTGTCCCATCAGTACATCAGCCCATTGTAATGAATAAGCAAGGTGAGTTAATTCAAATATAAGGCATGAGACAGCATTGCTGTTTTGATCATCTTGCAAAGCATGTTAAAGGAATGAGCCTAATCTTCCCTGACCAGTATAAACCAGCTCTTCCATCCACTTGTTCCCCCAGAGGCCAGCACTGTCCAGTTGAGTCCAGGAAACAGCTGCTTTCCCAACAAGCTTCTTAAGTGCATGGGCACAACTTTGCCACTTTTGTGAGTATTACTCAAAAAAAAAAAAAAAANTATGAAATAAGCCTGGAGTATTTTTTGAAGTCTATCCTGTCCTGATTTCTTGTACCTGACATTGCTCAATTCTTAGAAACTTTTTAGTTTCTTCCTGGATCACTGTACAATTAAGGTGCTATGTCTTAAGTGATTCTAGTTTCATTAGGGAAAACAGATCATTTATGAAAAGAGGTTAAATGCTGAACTCTCTGGATGACTTAGAAAGGCATGAAGGATTTGCATCACCCTTTCTTTCCACTCAGAAATTCTGGATGAATCTGCCTGCCATACCGAACTCTGCCGTGTTGTCATGAAGTTGCCCATGACTAATAGAGACACACTAGCATTTCTCATGCTCCATCTGCATAGGTGAGCACAAATTTAGGCTTGGAAAGGAAAACCTTAGGATCAGAGAGCTGGGAGAGAGGTTTTACAGGCCACATAGTCCAGTTTCCTGCTTGATGCAGAAAAAGAAAAAATAGAACATTTTTCTACCGATGTGCACCTGTTGTTTACAAGCTTCAAGTTCTCCAATGGAGATGGAGTCACCTTCTTTTACAAAATAACAAACACAAATCTGCCCAGGTTTTGTCTGTCTTGCCAGAAGAATAACAACCCTGCTTATTTAGATCAATCTGCAATGCAGGAGCAGCTATTTTCATAATTATAAACTTATTGAGAGGGATTGCATGTTAAGATTGTAATGATATCTGTTCCTCCCCATCAGACACATTTTTAAAGCAAAGAACTAGCACAACTACTTGGCAGAGAGCCATATTTTAAAACTTTTTTTTCTTGTGAAAACAGTTGCTGTCACTTCTAGTTGAGCCTATCTTTTGCTTTCTAGATTTGCTGGAATGAAATCTTATACTTTCCTGCCATCATGGCCATAGTTGTTGAAATTACATTGAAGTATAGTTGTTGTTGTATACCTACTGTTCCTCAGATGTTGGACTATTGTGAATACTTCCTCTTCCACACACACACATACAAATCATGGCAATGTGCAGTAGTACAAATAGTTCCCACTTAACAACCAGAATTGGGCTTGGGATTTTGGTAATAAGTCAGTTATTAAGTGAGTCACTATGGTAATTAAGGGTACTATGTGATCATCAAGAGAATTATGTGGTTAAATGAATCCAGCATATGAAATAAGAATAGTAATGGCACTTAGACTTATATACCACTTTACATCCCCCTCTAAGTGGTTTACAGAGTCACTATATTGCCCCCAACAATTTTGGGTCCTTATTTTACCCACCTCGGAAGGATGGAAGGTTGAGTCAAGTGAGATTTGAACTCCCAAATTGCAGGCAGCCATCAATCAGCAGAAATAGCCTGCAGTATTG